TCTAACGGTAAATATGAGTTACTAGGTAATTGCTTGGTCTGCTTACCTGCAGCTGTTACATGCGCGCATGCGCATAACCAACAAAAGCAGCAACAACGCGTCTTGACTTTTCACTTTTGTGAGTGGGAATTGATTGAGTAGCCAAGTGCTCTGGGTAAAAGTAAGTCATTCCAGGCCAAAAGGAAAAACAAAAACGAAGTGAATCTAAGCTATGGCTAACCCAAAAATTAACACCTGCTGGCCGGCCAACAAAATGAAAATTTGGTATGCAACTACAGCGACAGCAAGGAAAAATATAAGTTTTTGAGCCGATAAGTGGCAGCGAAATCAGCCGAAAAATGTTGCATATCACAAGACAAAAATGGGTGAGATGGTCAGAGGAGGAGTAGCCAACAACGTATACCCTTAAAACATTTTTTATACGAGCAAAGCTCTACTCATTAAGATTCATAGTCTGGAACTATATACATATGTGCATCTGTTAGATGCCTAGCATTTTCAGGAATTAGCTTAATATTCCTTCAAGAGAAGAGTGCGCAATGTAAAGAAGAATCAATCGCAACTTTCTGCCATATTTGATGGACTCCATTTGGAAAAACCACCAAATTGGAGCTCAACATTGTATCAGCAATGCGTTCAATTTGCGGCGCTTCGTCGAATTGCCAAATGCTGCGGCAGATACACTGCGGTACGTGACTGTATGTGCATCGGGAATGCCGCAAAGGCGACTGCAGCCGTTTGTCGAGTGTGGCATGTTGACTTGCGTTATTTTTTCCACCTGCCGCAACGCCAACGCTCTCCAGCTAAACATATAAAATAGTAGCAGACGTAGACCCCAAATCGTGGGCCATAATTAAGCATTTATTTTATTTGCCATATTTCTTGTGCTGCTTCGGGATTTGCTGGGATTGGATTGGTAATCATCGTGAAAAAAATGTTTGTTTTTATCCCCAAGTTTTTCGGTTTGTCATGTCTCGCAATGTTGTCAAACGTTGTCGACCATAATATAGCAATTAAAACTGTGCTCGTATTTAAGAGTACATCAACCCGATGTCACTCGTTTCGTTTTGACCACATTGGATTCGATCCATGGCTGATCTGCCAAAAGGAGCTTGTGAATCGGGGCTATGCAAAGTGGTTGCTGCAAAGCTGCACGAAATCCACATACAAATCCAAGTAATTTCTCGAGATATTGGCAAACAACTTGCCGATGAACTAGATTACTTGGATGGAAATGAGTTGAACGAGTGCATGATGGGCAGGAATTTGAGTGTATGGAGCTAAGTAAATCCAAACATGTTGTGGAATTTCCTTAAACTTGTGGGAAAATAATGAGGATTTCATTGGCCCACAATTATCGCTATTTAAACGAATTGTATTTGTATTAAAACAAATCGATTTTGGGTAACTTAATATATTTTAATTACAGCGAATTGAATTGAAATGCAGCTGGAAAACAAAGCGCCTTTGTGTCACTTAAATGCATTTGACAAAACGATTGTCTCAACCTTCGAGGTGAGAACCCCAAAGTCACAAAATTCCACGCTTCGCTGCCTAATTAGCACCAACCAATTGCAACTTGACGAAAGACCCAAAAAATTGCTAGCATTGGTTAATTTTCTTTAACGCAATTGTGGCACTTAACTTTGAATTGAAGTACCTGGCAGCCAAAGTATGTGGGGCCCACACACAAAAGAGCAAAAGAGCTGTGAATAAAACTTCTGTTTTATGTGAAACAATTAAATATTACAAAACTGCCTTATACTGGGCCAGCCTGCAGACCCAATTGAAATTGCTATTTACCAGTTACGAATTTACGAAAATCAGCGCATTAAAAGTGAACGATTAACCGGAGGCTAGCCGCAATAGAAGGTTGCCCCAAAAATGTTGCCCAGCAGCAGCCACGAAAATCATCAGGCCGAAATTTGGGTCAAACTGCGTTTAATGAGCCTACTTGCACAGCAACAATGCAGGCCAGCAATGCAAATAGGCTGCCAAGTTGGCCAAAGCGAAAATACCAAAATATTAACAAACTTGGGTTCGATGGGGTGGGGGATGTTGCAATGTTGCAACTGCCGATCAGCCACAACGATGACGACTTATCAACGCCATCGCATGCGTCACTAATGACACACACAGAGTCCTGGACAACTAAAAATTGAATACAAATGTTAAGGAATAAGAAGGAAACATTTTAAAATATATACATTTTTATTATTTGCTATCCATTATGAAACTTTTATCGTTAATTGTAGGCACAGGGAATATATATGTTTGTAATACATTTGAAACACTTTGAATATTTCTTATTTCTAAATTGTTTTACTTTTGACTTTTTTCCAGATTTGAGGCCACTTTTTGTTCAAAGTGCATTGGGGCTGCAAACATCAAACCCCAAACAATGGCAAACAACAACCACAAGTGAACTGTTTTACATTTGGGTAAGAGACGCTCCGCTCACCAAAGACTCCGAAGTCGCTGCTCCAACCACCGCTGCTTGAACCACCGATCCACGAATCCCATCCAGCAATCCACCGAACCACCGCTGCCAGCCGATTCACTTTCTTCCTAACTATATAAAAGCGGCGCATTTTCGTTGCAACCACATTATTCAGTGGTGAAAAGTCGTTGCGTGCAGTCATCCATTGATCTCCAAACAAATCGCGAGCTAAATCTCAAACTAAAATGGCTTTCAAGGTGAGCAGCAGGAGCCAAGGATAAAGGATAACGATTGTGAACAACAAACTGTACAACGAATGTATCCTTAAGGATACTGCAAAACGATCTGAGGATCAAGTGATATTTAAACAGCCAAGTGATTTGGTGGTGAAGTGGAAAAAATGTGTCCCAAATTGCAGCAATCGTTAAAAGGATATTCATTTTGAAAATGTGATATTGACAAAACATTTTATTTAAAATCGGATATAGGGATTTTACTATTTACTAGGCAAAAGAAAAATTAACCATTAACTAGCTAAAATGGTCAGGATCACAAACCTTCAGTTTTAAAAATCATCCTTGCTAAATCTGTCTAAAACAATTTTACCATTAGCTTTTTCGTGGTAATTGAAATACAAATTTAAATGCAACCACCAAAAAAACCACAGTCCAAACAAAAGCCCCTATTAAAGCTAATTTTTTAGGATATAGAAAAAAAAACTTAAATGTCTGCGTTAGTTAAATAAAACTCCCCAGAGTTAACCAACATATTTACAGTCAGCCAGTAAACCGCAAAGTAACCACTAAAAATATATCCAAACAAAAGCGTCAGTCGACCACAGCAAATTGCTTATGAATTCATTAAGACCAGCCAGAGAAATAAGTCCGAAATTTGCTTACAAAGCAGCCATAACATGGATAGCAACTGTCTGTGGCCAGCAAGTCCTCCAAACTCACCCACCCACTCCATGTGGCCCCCGCTAATTGCAACACTTGCAACTGCACACTCCGCCAACGGAAACAATTAGTTGCTAATTATGCAACCACCTATCTGATTTTGCAGTATCTGATCTTCGCCTCGGCTCTGTGCCTGAGCCTGGCTTATCCGCTGGAGCACCAGTACTACGAGGAGAGCCATGGGTATGAGCACCTGGCCCACCACGAACCGGAGCCCATCCACGAGTATGGCCACCACCAGATCGAACGCATCTCACTGGGCGAGGAGCACGGTCATCACGAACACGCTGAGCCCCACTACGAGACCCACGAATCCCACGGACACGATGAGCATGTGGACTACTATGTGAGTATAGGATACTACCAATTGTCAAAAATCATGTTTATATGTTTACCTATGATCAAACCAATTCTTCTTCGTCAAAACGAATTGTTTTAACAATTTGATATTATTTCTCCATAGGCTCCTCCCAAGTACGCCTTCAAGTATGGCGTGAATGACTTCCACACCGGAGATGTTAAGTCGCAGCACGAGACCCGCGATGGCGACACCGTCAAGGGCCAGTACTCCCTGGTTGAGCCTGATGGTTCCATCCGCACCGTGGACTACACCGCCGACAAGCACAATGGATTCAACGCCGTGGTCCACAAGACCGCTCCAGTGCATCATCATGAGGAGCTGCACGAGCACCATTACTAAGCCAGGACACACAGCGCACTAGAGTTAGCCAAATTGCTCATCAGCCAGAAGTGGAAGGAGGATTATGAGGACTAGGAGGAGGGACAAGCATATCCACATCGCTCGACCATGGAATCAGCTTCATATCTCGTAATTAGGACATCAGCACACACCCAGGCCTAGGATCACATCCTGTCCATGGCCATTTCATTAACATTTTGTATATTGTATTTTATTCTGTGATAGCGAATAACTTCTATGTGTATCTTCCGCTTTCAACTGATCCTTAGTCACTATCTGCTCAGACGAATTTACCATTCACTACTCGACTGTATACCTTAATCTTTAATCTATAATCTTTAAACTGTAATGTATACTTATGTCTTCTCGTAAAACTTGTTACAGAGATCAAACGAACGAATTGAAAATTATGTAATAAAGTGTGAATTATGTACTTTTTATAAAATCAAAACTCACCCGACCACTGGCCATAATTTTTATTTAGCTGGGGGCCAATCATTGAACTTGTACTCTTCAAACAAATGGCCAAATGTCTCAACTGACCAACTGGTTTATACGTTTCCAGACGTAAACGGCAATGGGCAAGATTTCACAAATTACCAGACAACGTTAGACATTTTCCGGCTCACAAACGAGTTCTTCAATTCATTGATTTTTTTAGGTTTGTTTTCATTGAAATTACATAAGCCTTATTTGATATGTTGGCGGAAAATGCTTCCTAAATGGTGAAAAGACCAGTAGTATCTTAAAAATGTCGAAGTAATTGATATATAAGCTTATTTCAATTACCAATAAATAAATGAAAACAATCATCATTGTTAAGTTTAATAGTTTAAATTTGGCGGGCATTTTCGACTAACTTTACCAGCACTGCTTAAAAATACCGATTGCAGCTAGTGAACTTTCTTTCCAATTGCCATCTCTAATAGTTGATAAGAAAGGGCAGAGTACATGTAAATAAGAAATATATCAATGGTTAGCTAGCCAAAGGTAAAAATATAAACAAAATAATGGAGAAAAACAAATATGTACCACGTGTAAATCAGGTGAGCTAAGCGTACACTTATTTCTAAATTAAAAGTATGGAAATTATACATTTTTACCTTTTAGATAGATGCCATCTATTTGAACAAGGACATTGCCCGCCTGATACGAGATAATCTGCTGGAGAACTTGCAAGCAATCTCAGTGAGTTAATGAGTACCGCCATAATTGGCAGTTTAATAGTGTATATCTTTCACAGCCCGTTTTGTTCATCAAAATCCAACCGGAGCTCGACTTGCTCATTCAATCCGCCATTTGGTTTGGTTCCGTCGGCAAGCGGTGCTCCACTTTTGGCCAACAGCTTCTGGTTCTGGCTTATGATGCCGAAAAGCTGACGGTGTCCAGGCTGGTGCTCCATTTCGTCCTGACCGTCTTGCCGGGCTACGTGAAGAGCTGGGAGGAGCGGCGTTTAACCAGGCGCGTGGAGTGGTTTAGCGAGGCGATTACGTGGGCGGAGAACAGTGCCCTGGTACTGAACATCCTCAATTACTTTCGGTTCCTGAAGACAGGGCGAAAACCCACGCTGGTGGACTATCTTTTGGGGTTGGACTACATTAGTCTGAGGAACAACCAACGGAGGGACATTGGCTACAAGTACCTAACGAGAGAACTGCTTTGGGGAGGATTTATGGTAGGTGCTGGTTAGTTCGTGTTGTGTTTTTATATATCACAATTAATATTATAGGAAATCCTCGGACTGGTGTTACCCATCATCAATTTCCGTAAGCTACAAAGATTGCTAAAGTCGTGGACATTTGGTCAGGCGATTTCCGGACGACGGTTGGAGGATAGAGATGACCCGGCGTTCTTGGCGCCGCAGATGACCCTGAGCACCACCTGCACCTTCTGTGGGGAGCGACCCACATTGCCACACCACATGGGCTGCGGGCATATCTATTGCTATTATTGTCTCAATGCCAATGTTTTAACGGATGCCAGTTTCTGCTGCCCCAAATGCGGTTCTACGTGCCCTGAGTCGGGAATCCAAAGTGTCTGATAAATAGGAAGATATGCAAGTGATGGTTTTATACGTGTTTTTATTAGTTTTAAGAGAAAAGTGGGCTTTAAGTAATAAACAAACAATTTTCATATTCCGCCAAAAGTTTAGTGTTGGCAAGTATAGTAGTGTTGGTAGTCGTACAAAACCATCTATTATTTACAGGCATGGTGCCAGAAGAAGTGCGATAAAAACTAGAAGAAAACTGTATAATTTAGCGAAATTAAAAAGCAAAAAGTTGCTTGGTTGAAGTATTAAGCCTTGTGGATTCAAAGTAAACTGCGGACTAGCCAAGTACATTCCAGTTAAGACCAAAAAGTAAGTTCTAAGTCTTTGTCGTTGGTAAATAAAAAGCGCGCGAAAAAATGGGAACAGCTGTTGCATTGTGAACCAGCGTTGCCAAATGTGTAAATTAAGCAATAATATGAAATATATTCTTAAAAAGCTCACCTGCATTCATCACTAGTTTGGATAGTTAGACTAAAAGATAAATGAATAATCATATAATTTGGGATACAAAGCCACACCCCCTTTGTTTTGCAATTTCGCAAATCAGCTGCCCACGGCGATCTGGCAACGCCATTACTTTGTTATTATCTCATTTTTCTGCTGCGCATTTCGTCTTTGTCCGAATTTTTTGAAGAAAACCAAACAATTTATCGCTTCGCCAAGAACACGACAAGTAGTTTAAACCCCACGAATTAAACTATTTTATTGAAGTTAATGTAATTGCTTATAAATAAACTAAAGCATAAAGAGCAGAACGAGAGCAAACAGTTGAAAACAGAAAGTGCTGAAATAATAACACCAAATACAATTGACCATCAATTGCGCATATATAATTGTTTAAATATATTCGCAAAGTGAGCTGATTTCACATATCAAGGTCAGTAAGTGGATGACTCGCAGCAAAAACAATAACAAACTAAGATCCCTTGAAAACCCCAGGTGAAAATGCTAGATCTGGAGATCGCGCCGGAGATTTCCCTGGGCTGCGATGTCTGGGAATTTGTTCTCGGCATGCACTTCTCGCAGGCCATTGCCATCATCCAGTCGCAGGTGGGCATCATCAAGGGAGTCCAGGTGCTGTACTCGGATACCAATCCCCTGGGCGTGGACATCATTATCAACCTGCCCCAGGACGGCGTTCGTTTGATCTTTGATCCCGTCAATCAGCGCTTGAAGACCATCGAGGTTTTCAACATGAAACTGGTGAAACTGCGGTATTGCGGCGTCTACTTTAACTCCCCGGAGGTGCTGCCGAGTATCGAGCAAATCGAGCACTCCTTTGGAGCTACACATCCTGGGGTTTACGATGCAGCCAAACAGTTGTTTGCCCTCCATTTCCGTGGGCTAAGCTTCTACTTTCCCGTGGACAGCAAGCTGCACTCGGGCTATGCCCATGGACTGGGTTCTCTGGTTTTCCTGAACGGCGCCTCACCCGTCGTATCCAAGATGTCACTTTACGCAGGCAGTAATGTATCAGAGAACAGAGCACCACCCCTACCCTTGGCCTGCTATCACCGCCAGATGTATTTGGAATCGGCCACTGTTCTCCGAACCTCCTTTGGTCACACGAAGGGTTTGAAGCTGAAGCTCTTTACTGAGGGTTCGGGAAGAGCTTTGGAGCCACGCCGCCAGTGCTTCACGCGAGAGCTGCTCTTCGGCGATAGCTGCGAGGATGTGGCCACCAGTCTAGGAGCACCCAATCGTATATTCTTCAAGAGCGAGGACAAAATGAAGATACACAGTTCGAGTGTCAATCGACAAGCGCAGAGCAAGCGGAGCGACATTTTCTTCAACTACTTCACACTTGGAATCGATGTGCTCTTTGATGCACGAACGCAGACCTGCAAGAAGTTCATTCTGCACACCAACTATCCTGGGCACTTTAACTTTAACATGTACCATCGCTGCGAGTTCCAGTTCCTGCTGCAGGCGGATCATCCTTCAATGAGCGATAGTGGGCACGATCTGGTGACGCCGACTAAGCAAGAACATGTGAACATAAGCGCCTACACCAAATGGGACGCGATCAGCAGCGCATTAGCCACCTCAGAGCGGCCAGTGGTGCTTCATCGCGCCAGTTCGACGAACACGGCGAATCCGTTCGGCTCCACCTTCTGCTATGGCTACCAAGACCTAATCTTCGAGGTGATGCCCAACAGCCACATCGCCTCGGTAACGCTCTACAATACTGCGCCACCCAGGCAGCCAGCGCATTCCTGGCAGCAGCACAAAATGCAAGACATTCTCCTCACAGTGGCCTAGACCTGTGGGATTTACTGGGCTCCTTTCGCTGCTCCATGATGCTGAACAAGGGAACGCCCGCCTGTCGTGCTCTAATCTTTAAGCTGCAACATTGATCTAACATAGCCGTAAAGTAGACACATACATTATATAGTAATATATATATATATACATGGTACACGTAGATTTCCAATGTAAGCTAAGCCAATCATCGGACGAACTTTCTGACCAGGTTCATTCTGCGTTATTCCATTGCGATAGCTCGATTCGATTTGTTTCGACCCATAACTGACAATTAATAAGCCTATTACTTTTAAAAAATGCATGTCGTTAATATATTTCAGTACCTTAAGCTCCAATCGTGTATCTCTCTTTGAAAAAGAAAAAATCAACAAAAAAATATATAAATATAAGGTTTCGACAAAAAATGTAATGGTTTTAATTTCTTTACGTTCCTTAGTAATTGTTTCATTTTATGGACTTAACGATGAAATATATGGTTCATTTTCAGTTCCTTAAAATGCAAGTTGCAGATCAGGAGAACCAGGCTCCGCAGCAGCAGACGACTGCTGTGCATGCCTACAATCCAGAGGTCCTTCAGGATATGTTGCCCGTGTACTACAGGCGTCTCTTTCCCCACCTGCCCTTCTACCGTTGGCTTTCCTATGGATCATGTAAGTGCATCCAACTGCAATCCTTAAAAACAGCCATTGATCATTATTCTTCTCAGCTGAGGACGCCATCTTTTCCAATCGCGAGATTTCCTTTACGCTGCCGGACGATATCTACATACGTTATCTGTGCTTTGATACCCAGGCTGAATTGGAAAAGGAGATCTGCTCGAGGAATCCAATTAAGATTGACATAGGTCCAGTGATGCATACCAAACCCAAAAATCATCGTTCGATTCCTGGCGGCTTAACGCCCGTACAACGTGAGCTGGTTTTTGATATCGATATGACGGACTACGACGATGTGCGTACCTGTTGCTCTGGAGCAGAGGTATGCCTTAAATGCTGGAAGTTTATGGTGCTGGCTGCCAGGGTTTTGGATGTCGCTCTGCGGGAGGATTTCGGTTTTGAGCACATTATCTGGATTTTCTCCGGTAGACGAGGTATCCATTGCTGGGTGTGCGACCACCAAGCCCGTCACTTGGACGCACGTGGTCGCTATGCTGTGGCGGAATACCTTAACATTATTACCTATGCCAATTTCTCGGGCACCAATTCACCCAGATGTGCAATGGGAGAGCGACCGCATCATAGCCTGAAGAGAGCCTTAAAGATAGTAGAGCCCATGTTTGAGGAGGTAATACTAGAGGATCAGAATCTTTTTGGGACTCCCAAGGGAGTTACCAAACTACTTAACATGGTCCACGATGACGCTGCACGTGGCGAACTAGAATCTTATCTGCAAAAGAATTTGGAGGATGGAGCCCACTCGCGACTCATCTGGGAGAGCTTCAATAAGTACGCCAGCTCTATGAGAACGTCCACAGCAAATGCCTGGAGTCGTAAGCTGAAGAACATTGTAAGCGAGGTCCAGCTTGGACTGCTCTATCCTCGTTTAGACATCAACGTCACTAGGGGATTTAACCATTTGCTGAAGGCCCCGTTTTGCATTCATCCAGCCACTGGAAAAGTGTGCGTTCCATTTAGTGTAAGTGCTGTAGCCAAGTTTGATCCTACCACAGTGCCCACGATCACCCAGTTGCTGCACGAGATCAACGCTTTTGATGATAAGAGCAAGAGCTACATGGAGGCGCCGGAGGATAAGAGCCGCATCAAGGATCATAAGAAGACTAGCATGTTCAAGGGTGTGGTGGTTTTCGAGGAGTTCCTGCGAAAACTGGAGCGCAACCAGAAATCTGCTAGCTTGCAGTTTTGATTATAATTTTTGAAAATCTAAGATAAGAAAATAAAAGGTTAATGAATATTTCAGTATGCACCCACATTTTCTCGTTTGCCGCTTTCGTATTTATCTTTATTAGGTGTTTGTATGGTAATCATTAGGCTAGCAACAATAAATAGTCTAGGCGACATCGCACCGATTCCGGTTCACAATCCGGATCTCACATGCAGCGCAGTCGCACCAGCGGCACCACGTTGCCGTCCTTATCGTCCACATCTACCTCAACCTCTAGTTGGTAAAGTCCATCCTCCGGTGTCGTGCTGTCGGGCAGACGGGCCAGTATCTCGCTCTCTCCAGTGCGCAGCTTAAACGAAGCAGCTCCCTTGCTTACGTCGTCACCCTTACCCTCCTCTGATTGGGGCAGTGATATCCGTATCTTGGCGGGCAAAACGCTACCCCTGCCCAGGACCAACTTGGCGTTGGCTTCGTCATTGCCGTGCCAAATGTATAGGTCATCCTCAACCACCACACAATCCTCCTCCTTGTGAAGCTGCTGTTCAAGGGGATCAATTAGGCACACAGCTTGGCGCGCACAGCCGATGGCAACCACCTCGTCCGCCGAATGGCTGTTGTGAAGCTTCGCGTCCGGGAAGCGGGCTCCAACTGCCGCCTGAAGTTTGGGGATTTGCATTGTGGCGCCGAGTAGAACGATGTCATCTATTTTGCTCAATCCGGGATGCTCCTTTTGCGCCTGCTCTACACACTCGCCCAGTTGCTGGATGAGGTTATTGATCACTGGCTGGATGAGGCTCTCAAAGCGAGCTCGCGACATCTGGGCATTGTAATCAACGCCGTCCATTAGGGAGTCGATATAAAGTTGCGTGGAAGGCATAGTGGTAAGGATGTGCTTACAGTTGGCGGCGGCAGTGCGGATTTTGGCCACTGAGCGACGAGACTCATGCGGGTCTAGCTTGTACTTGCGGCGGAACTCCTCGCAAATGAACTGCACCAAGGCCTCGGTGAATTGCCGGCCACCAATGGGGAAGGGTCCGAAAGTTGCCAGCTGAACGAACAGGCCATTTTGGACGGCATAAAAGGCGATGTCGCTGTATAAACCACCACATTTGATTGTCAGCACATGGCGTCGCTGTTCCGTCTGCTCCTCGCCAATACTGTAGCCTAATACGGCAGCCGTGGGTTCCGTAATAATCTGGGCCACGTGGAAGCCAGCAGTTTGAGCGGCATCTGCTAACAGTTTGTAGGCCGAGGCGGGATAATAGCTGGGTATGGAGAGCACGGCGATGGGCGCCTGTTCCCCGTCCGTGTGATATTGATGGGCCAGCTCCAGCTCAGCGCGCAGCAGCTCCACCGTCACCTGATAGGCGCTGAGGTCCTTAGTCACAACTCTGTCGTCTTGATCCTCCTTTTCGGAAGGTACAGTATGCTCCATCCGGAACACCAGCTCCTCCTTGTCAAAGTCGCAGGGGATTTCCCGCAGCGCACTGGACAGTTTCTCCTCAGTGAGCTGTTCCTTAGACTGAAGCAGCTGAAAGCTGTGGGCCACCGCCTGGCGCGGACGAGTGGCCATCTTCTGCTTGGCCGTAAGGCCACATTCGATCTCCGAGGCGCCGTCCCAGAGAAGGCACGCCTGTGACACTCGGTCGCCCTGTTTGTTGGCGATCACCTCCGCCTTGCCATCCGCGCGCACGTGGGCGATGCAGAGCGTGCTGTTGCCAATCTTGATGCCAAATCGCGGCCACATCTTTGGGGAGTCGGATTCGGAGGCAGAAGTACACGGATTTAAGGAAATATCTTAACAAAATGCGACGAATAAACGCGCACGTTTTTTTCCAGCACGCGCGGTAGTGTTGTATGACAGAGTATTTTGCAACACTGGCGGGGTATTATGTCACGGCGATGTCACTTTTTCGATATATATGTATGAATTCCAATTTCAGAACTAATTTTGCCAACTAATATTGAAAATATAATATTTTCCATAAATGACACAAGACGTGTAAGTTAAAGATATTAGTTCTTTGAATTGAAATAAAAATGTATTTTCTTATTTGTATAAATTTATTCACTATAAGAAAACTATTTAATGTTATTCGGCTATTAGACTCCTTTATAATATTTTTTAAACATTAAAAATAAATAGTCGATTTAATCGATATGAAAATTTCTTCTCACTTTAAATAAGTAGTATTGAATAACGCTAAGCAGCTGGTTTGTATCGATAGGATCGAGCTACTGCAGACCATCACCAGCTAAAAAATATGTAAACAAAACAGACGGAAAATCGCAAGAAAATTGCTGAAAACTCGATATAAAATACAACACAACAGGGCCAAAACAATGTAATACAGTTCCTCAAAGTGTAGACCATTATATGCAAACCAAAGTGTTAGCAGAAAGCATCTATACGTACAGAAGTAACAAAAAATCCATAGGAATCCAAGCGCAGAGGCTAGAGAAGCAAACTGTTGACCCCGCCGACCCCACCGTCCACCACCCCCTTGAAGGTCCAACCCCCCTATTCCCCCCGCGTAGTGGGCACTGTGTGACATACATGCGCGTGTGTGTACGCCCCCAAAAAGCCAAGCAAACCGTACCGATTCGTCATCGATTTACGGCGGAACCAAGCCAAACAATGCGACTCCGCTGAAAATTAGACAAATTGAAAACGAAATCTAATAAAAGAGAGTGCGAGTGCGTGGCCTTGGAACAGAAATTGATTTGTTTACCTGCCCTGAAAATGCGCAATTCTTAGGGCTTACGAATAAAGAAAGTCGAAATACATTACACACACAACAAAGAGTCACCCAATTGGGAGTGCCTGGAACTGAGGCAACCTTGAGTGTTTGGAATGGATGATAATCTGAGCACCAAGTCCTCGGAATCCTCGATAACAACCAGCGGGGAGTACGAAATAGTTACCGACAGCAATGTGGCCAGTCCCATGGAGCAGGTGAAGCAGGTTGTCAACCAGCAGGGTACTCAGCCAGAAGTGGGAGGCAAGCCGCCCACTTCTCTGAGTGCTCTGGCTCTGTCCTCCCCCGAAGCTGGAGGAGATCGCTCGCCTACACTGGACATGGCCCATAATCGCAACCTAAGCGACATGCAGCACGAGATGACGGACGCCCTCAAAGATCTGGAGCTGGAACGCGGTGGAGGTGAGTGAAGAAACACAACTGAGGGTGGAATGGGTTGCCCTGGGTAGCCTGAAGAAAATTCAGTCGCTGCCCAACGCCAGCTGTACACACAACGTCGCGGTCGCTCCAATATTGGAAACATCAAACGATTGCTAAGCCTAACCAGCTGCAATCTTATCGGCGCAGAGCCGTAGTGCTACGCTGTCATGGAAACAACGACAAACAAACCGAATAATAATATTTTCCTTAAACTAAATTCCGCATAATTCGGCATTTGTTATTGCTCGTCGCGTAATTGACAATTAACATTTTTGCAGCTGCCATTGGGGAGAAGTCAGCGCCACGTCTCCCGAGTCACCAGCAAAAGTCTCTCACCCTACCGCTCACGGGCTCCGGCGGGAGATCTGCCGATCCCGAGATGCGTTTCCCCTGCACCCTGTTCTCGCCCAAGAGCGAGGAGACCCTCGACGATGCCTCCAGCTCAAACAGGGTGGGTCATTCGGTCTTCTATGACTGCATAGACACGAGTCCCGCATGTGTGGAGGAAAAACAGGATGCCATGAAGCCGGAGAAGGGCGACACCACCGACGAGGAGGGTGAGCAGATCTCCTAGCTTTGTTAAATTTCCGAATATCCAGAGAGTAGCCTATAAACTTTGTTAATGTTACGAAAGCCATTTTTCTCATGGAGTTCTTTTTTATTTATGCCTAGACTCCTTAAAAATCTTGAAATCTATGTATCTATTTCTATAACAAAAATTTAATTGAGTTTATTTATTTATTTTTTCTTTAGTTTCTGAAATCGATCAGGGCTGCACTATATTTTCCGGAGTTACCTACCTGGGAGCAGCCAACATTAATGCCCCCAAATCCGAGACGGAGGTCTATCGCATCATGGGAGAGCTGAATAGTGGCTCAAAGTCAGTGGGCCTGAAGATCACTGTGAGCATTCCCAACTGCTCAGAGGGCCTGGTTGTGTGAGTAATGTTTTTACTGTCCCTTGAATGGCTCACTGAACGTCATAATGTTTATATTACAGCCTCCACGATGCTGAGAGCAATACTATTATTGCCACCTATGAGATATCCAGCATTATCTTATACTATCGAGGACCAGTAGACACGGTAGAAAACGGATGCTTTGCATTCACTTGGCTCCACGGAGATGCGTTGTTTCAGTGCCATGTGTTTCGGTGCCATATTCCCGAAGCGGTTAATCAAGTCAGCGGTGAGTCAGATCATGCAGTGATTTCATCCACTGGTTTATTTTAAATCTTCATCCACAGCCTGCTTCCAGAAGGCATTCCAGACTTATCCGCCCAGCATGAGTTGCAGCCTTAATTCGGCCGTTGACATGGCCAACTCGGTAACCTCCGATGTAAGCGGAAATCCTTTAAATACGGCTGGGTATGAGTTCATAGTCTCCTTAGAGATCCGTGAGCGGGTGGCAAAGAACTCGTATGCCGCAGTTCCTCGCGATAGGGGATGCTTCAAGCTGCGGGCGAACACAGATAAGGAGGTGTGCATCACAGTCAAACAGACTCCGTCGAACGTTCTTCAGCCATTGCATATCGAACGTTGTTTCGGTGTTCTAGTGGCACCCGGAAAACTAGTAGTCCAAAAGGATATGCATTTGATCGACATGCACAGCATGGGTTACATGCAGCCAGGGGGAACAGGAGTAGCAACCGAATCGGACAGCAATGCCCAGCAGAGTTCCACCTGGCCTTATACAATTCGAGCTGAGTGGAAAGCCCAGGAGAAGGCCTTTGAGCAGTTAAATCTTGAGTCGTCCAAGACCAATTTGACTGTGGCCGTAGACATTGTGATGCGACACATACAGGAACCGGTTAGGTTCGTCATCGAGACCCCAGTGACCATTCAGTCGGCCAGCGAAATGCGTATTATGGACCATTTTATGTCGAAGCGACCCATGA